CCCATCAACCCACCCACTCCCCCATCAACCCACCCATTCCCCCATCAACCCACCCATTCCCCCATCAACCCACCCATTCCCCCATCAACCCACCCATTCCCCCATCAACCCATCCATTTGATCCAGAGTCAGAGAAACAGCACACGTGATTGGCTATAAAATATCGTAGAACTGCAATGCACCAAAATCACTGTATTATGTTAATCATCAGTGTTATGGTGTACAAATACCTGAACGGTAGCTATTGAATATGCGCACATGCTTACAGTGCTTGGTAAATGGGCATGCCCCTTTGAAATTATGCGCAGCAGTCAACATGTGAGGGCTGTGCACAAATAAGGTATCTTTTGTATTTCTTCTTTCCTCAACCCTGATTACCGTAGCTGTTTCCTCTTTTCACACTTTTGATAATTGACCACGAAGATATAACACGAGAGCTCTCAGAAAGTGCTAGAAATAGTGGGTAGGCATTCACTGCGTTAAGGGGACAAATTCTTTTGCTAGGGAAACTTGAACCGAGTTATGGGGACATTTCTGAGTCCCCACAACATTTTCGGTCCGCACAAAATAGGTGAAATGTTGAGTGTATGTCCCCACAACTATGGTGCAGGAGTACGAGAGCCTGCCTTCAAAGGCCTGAGAGGCAATTGTGCTGTGCACACTTACTTCCATTGTCATCGGTTGTGTTTCAGGCTACTACTGCACATCAGGGGTTGACCGTGAAAATCCCGGTGCAAGCATGGAGGCCATCAACTGCTCCTGTCCAGAACAGACCGTCTTCACTGGTGGGTGTTTCGGGATGTTTCAAAGATTTTTGTACAGTTCAGTGGATGCATAAAACTTGTTATTGTTTTTTCCTGAGTCCCCACAACATTTCGGTCCCCACAGAATAAGTGAAATGTTGAGTATATGTCCCCACAAGCGATAATTTTGTTTATTGAATAAAGATCTGAGCAAGTTCATCACTGAAACACAGGTTGAATAAGTCATTTCTGTATGTTGGGCTGTTTGGTAGAGCTTTCTTTGCAAAGACTTCCATCTTTAGAATGGTACAGTCATGAGTCCTATGCATTCAAGTCTTCAAGGTTGTGGCACTTCTTTTTCCAAATGATCTATTTTTTCGTGTACTGTATAAACTGAGTTTTGTAAGAGGAGAGGAATCAGATCTCCCTTTTAAAAGCTTTTTATGGCCTTTAAAAAAAGATCTCGAGCTGCGGGGAGGGGGTAATAAAAAAAAACACTATTTTTTTGGTTTACCTGTTGTGGAAAAATGGACATTTGTATGATGACAACATGCTCCATTTTCATGAATAGTTAACTTCGAAGTGACTGCAAGACAGCAGTGGAAAGAAATATGGAAGGCTTGGCATGATAACAAAATTGCCTTGCGTTGTTTATACAGAAAGTGTTCATGGGGATTTCTCCCCCAGCTGTGCCAGAGTTAGAGTATTTTGACTTAAAATCCGAGATACCGTATGTTCCACAATCTTACTGCCTTAATTCATCTTTCAGGTGAAGGTGGCATCTGTCCAGTCGCCCACTACTGTCCAGCCAACTCCACCCTCCCTCTTGCCTGCGAGCCCGGCACCTACAATAACCTGACTGGCCAGTCGGCCTGCTTTGACTGTCCAGAGGGCTACTACTGCTTGGCTCAAACCACCCACTACATAAACTTTGATTGTCCTGTGGGTAAGTTGACAGAGCAAGCACTGCATAGCTTTTACAAACTGCAAGGGATTCATTATAATGTCTGTGTGATGTGGGATCATCTGGCTGTCTTGCAAAGCATTAGTTGATGGTAAGAACTATTAAGAACCCTTGCCTACCTAGAACCAATGTTAACTTGCTCTTTGGGCTTGAAAAGAACTTAAGCATGCATATACCCACCTGGGGATCAGTACCAATTTGGAATCAACTGGAGAGAGCACAGGATGCATTTTGACCAGCTGCCTACAAATCTGTGTCTGTCATTAGAAAAAAACATAGCACCCATTTGAAAATCTGTGCCTATTTAGGTCCACATCCTTCAACACTGATGTGTATAAAACCCCACAATTAGTACATCATTGTTTACAGGAAAGAATATAACCATTTAAGAATAGCTGCCCGTGTCAGACCAGCAAAATCACTTCATTGCTACATGTACATGTACTTCACTCTCCTGGTCAATATCCTCTTGTCCATCTCAGGTCACTTCTGCCCAGAAGGAACCCAAGACCCATTTGAGAACCCTTGCCCGCCAGGGACCTACAACCCCCACCCCAACTCCAAGGACATGTCCGCTTGCCTGGACTGCCCCATGGGCAAGTACTGTGAGGGCGCCGGCAATGCCAACTACACGGACGAATGTGACGAGGGCTGGTACTGCTCAGGCAGGGCCCAGAATCGCACCACCACGGCCCACGGTGGAGAATGTCAACCTGGCTACTACTGCCCAAGAGGTAATCCAAGGATTAGAAATTAGGAAGATGCAGGCCTTTGACGTTAGCGCTAGATTGGCACCCAAAGCCAAGTAAACAGAGTTGTGGGCAAATAAAATGCATTTGTTAACCCCTTCACAGCGGGATTATTTTAACTACGACTGATGGGCTGTGGTATGCCCTGAATGGAGGGCTTTGTCCAGCAGCAGGCCCCATTGAACCAGCAGCTGCATGGTGAATAGACTGTATGCGTGGTATGCACTAATCCTCACACAATGGTGCGGTAGTAGCAGTCCTCCGTAGTGAAGGGGTTAACATGCCCGGCGGGCTTGTAAAGCAATACCTACCTGTTTCAAACTGTCATCTGTCTTATTTGTAAAGATGAATAAAACAAATGTTTGATTGTGTGTGTTAATTATAAATTGTAACAGTTTGAATTTTCCTCTCGAAGTTTTGACATTAGCAACAAGCCTCTACAGTAACAATCAAAATAATTAAGTTGAAAGAGCCAGTCAAAGTAACATGTAGGTTTGCTATTAAAACAATGTCCATTGCGCAAGTGGAAGTCTCTGGGTGGAAGTAAAAGTATTAAGTGTCGGGTCAGTGCTAAAGGTCATTACAGCAAAAACATCATTTTTGAAAACAGGGCCTTACTCTGAGCATAAAGGAAGAAAATGTTGGAGTGAGCCAGACTAAAACTAGTTTTTCGGGGCCAATATTTTTAAATTTCAACAAAGTTTCTTGCCCGATTTCAGGTTGAAAATAGTATTAATCAATGAGGACCTTGAAATGCAAATTTTTAGTAAGGACGTTTTAGCACTGACACGTTGAAAGTTAACTAGCCTAGGAAGTTGGGAGTCAAGCCTAGTTGATGCAAAGAGAAACAGGCAACATCTTTGAACAGTCCTCGGGGCTTGTAAAATGGGTGTTCTGATTTCTGACTTCTCAATGTGTATGAGTAGACACCATAACAAGTCGTGGGGGATGTGTTGATGTTAAATATGAAAGATAGAAAGCCTGAGTATGAATTTCCTTGTAAAGGTTCCGGTTCACAAATCTCGTGCCCCGGTGGGAAGTACTGCCAGACCTCAGGCTTGTCCGAGCCAACAGACGACTGCGACGCCGGCTACTACTGCACTGGGCAGTCCACCACCGGTACCCCTGACGATGGCATCCAAGGTGATGAGTGCCCACCAGGCTTCTACTGCCAAGCCGGTTCCCCCTGGCCGGACCCTTGCCCGCCTGGAACGTTCACCCCCTACTTTAAGAACGAGAACATGTCGGACTGCGTGCCGTGCCTGGACGGTGACTACTGCGGACAGTACAATCTCACAGAGACCAACGGTGAGTGGTTGAAATTGACACTGAGCCCCAGTGGCGTACCCATAGAGGCTCAAAGAGGGCCATGTGTTCCCCTCCCTAGAGCGTAACTCAGCAACTTTTGATCTGAAATCAACATGCTAGCCTATGTTTTTTTCTGGGAATATACAGTATTGACTGAGTTAAACTTATTAGGTTTGTGCTAGGTACCCTTCTTTAGACTTTGAGAAATTTTGTTGCGTCAAAGGAACAAAATGCCAAAATGACCGATAACGGGCCGTTCCTTTTGAAGAACTCACAACTGAATGTATTGCAGTGCTTAATTACTGAGAAGTTGTGAATCTTTGATGGCCAGCAGTAGAAAAGTGGGTTACGTCGTCCCCAATGGGAAAGGAATTATCAAAAAGATTCAATTTCTATTCTGTGAGTTAACTTGCCGAGTTGGACCTTGACAAGTTTGATTGATCTCTCCTCTAGGGAATTGCACCCAGGGTTACTACTGCCCCCGCGGTCAGTCAGACCCCCAGGCCTACGAGTGCCCCGTCGGTCACTACTGCCCCAGCGGCATCCACCATCCCATCCTATGTCCCAGTGGCACCTACCAGGACGAGACAGGGCGATGGGACTGCGAGGAGTGCCCGGCAAGCTACTACTGCGACAAGTATGACATTTTCTCTGACTACTTCCAGCCGAAAACCTCAAATCCCCATTCTAAACATATTTGCCAACTGTTAATACGCATCCTGTCAAATCCCAAGTCAGTCAGGTCGGTACAGTGGTTCTTTCTTTACCTTTCACCTCTGTGGTCGCGGTTTAATTCCCAGCTCGGTCGACATGTGGATTTGGTTTTAAGTCCCTACCTGATTAAATGGGTTTTACCCAGAATATTCTTCTGGGGTTTTCCTCCCACCTCTAACACTGTAACTGCATCTCACGGTTTCCTTGCGACAGATTTCTTCAGGATTGTAAGCTACAGTGCCTAGAACACTTTAGGAATCCCGGGCTTTCTTACAGAAATGTTCAAAGCAATAACAACCCCCCCCCTCCTTGTAACACAATGTTTATAGGTCTCCAAATTTTGTACTCAGTTTTCATTTCGGATGATGCAAGGTAATAAGGCTGTTTGTCAAGTCCCAAGTACCTTCTTGTGAATGGGTTCCACGGTAACTACCTTCCACTTTTCTCCATGTGTATTTGAAAAGACATTTCAAGGGGTTTCCAAATGTCCTTGTCACAGTTGATAATTTGAGTGTCCTGCAACTTGACTCGAACCTTGACAAATAGTGTTTTAGCATCGTCATGATCAGTCATCTAAGTATCCCTTTCCCCCGCGCTGCAGTTCCAACGGGGTGGTCGTCATCAATGACACCATCACCTGCCCCAGGGGCTTCTACTGCGAGGCGGGCACCCAGCGGGCCGACGAGTCTGGCTGCCCGCGCGGGACCTTTGGCAACGACACAGGCTTCGACGACGTCAGTGATTGCATACCCTGCTCAGGTGAGTCCTTATCCCACAATTATAGAGCAGTGCTGTGTTCCAAAGTCATAGCTGTGGCTAGCAGCAGTACATGTCTATATGAAAATAAGCTGTAGCCTTAGACCAGTGGCTTTCATAGGTACATGTACACGTGTTGATGCCAGCCGTAGCCACAACTTTCAGATGTTGCGTACTAGTGCTGCAAAATCCCTGAATATATATCTTCCGTTGAAAATCTGGCTCGCATTGAAATGTGTTTTTTGGAACATTTAACTATTCTTAAACTGTAATTCAAGTACAAAAGCAGACTTTAAGCAGAAAAAGACAGAGGAGAAGACTGCGAGTTGACGTGTCATAGCTAGCAATAAATTGGGTGACACCGTCCTATAGAAATGAATAATGTCTTCGCAGAAGACTGAGAGTTGACGTGTCATAGCTAGCAATAAATTGGGTGACACCGTCCTATAGAAATGAATAATGTCTTCGCATTAGACTGAGAGTTGACGTGTCATAGCTAGCAATAAATTGGGTGACACCGTCCTATAGAAATGAATGATGTCTTCGCATTAGACTGAGAGTTGACGTGTCATAGCTAGCAATAAATTGGGTGACACCGTCCTAAAGAAATGAATGATGTCTTCACAGGGATTTCTGGTTGTTAAAATTATGTTGTATTTCTGAAATCACAAGTAAAGATAATGTTTGAGTATTGTATGCGAAATTCTCAGTGTCTTAGTATATTAAAAACAACTCAAAACAAATCCAGTTCAGAGGTGTATCTTGATAGAAGAATATCCAGTGAAACCTAGATTAGGGTATCTGTTCTTTGGATAATATCCCCCACTATGAAACAGCCCTGTGGAAACATATCCCGGAAGCCACATTTAAGATTTCTGTAGTTGAGACCTTTCACCAACTTCGTTTTGAGTAACTGAGACTTACATTAATAAATTTTGTAGTTATCCAAGATATAAACTGAAGCCCATCCGCCTTGTTCGGAGATGTCACTGGGGCCACATGACTCAGAATGGTGTTTCGAAAGAAACGTGCCAGGATCAAGGACTTGACTCCATCAAAGATTTAATACTCAGATCCCATCGCCCGGGCAGGAAGTCATTTTGGTCTTTCGATGTCAATCAATCCCACAGGCGGCTACTACTGCGAGGAGGCGGGCAAAACCGTGCCCACTGCACCCTGTGAAGCCGGCTTCTTCTGCAAGCAGTATGCCGAAACCGGTGCCCCATCACAGGGAGCCAGCCAGGCTGACATCTGTCCACAAGGTAAAGGTTTCCAACATTCCCTCGACCCAACTAATTTTTTTTCCAGGCCCTTATCTGAGTTTAGGCTGTGTTCTAAGGGGCCTCAGAGATTTGGTCAAACAGAATTGGTTTAAAGTTTGAAGTTTTTTCTTGGACCATTAAGTGATTTTCCCCCAAAACATACCTTTTTTCTTGACCCTTCATTCCTACTGGAAGAGTCCACAAGAAAATGATGATGGCCATGAGTCATGGTTCATTTTTGAGAAAGGAACATTGGATATCAAATTTTTTCCTCCTGTATATTTTTATGCTCCTTGAAATTATTTTTAAAAAATGGATGAAGCTAGTGTTAGGTGCATTCGCTTGTCAGTAACTCTCTGTGAATATCTTTGGATATCTCTCACGTTTTTCCCATGTAGGTTCCTACTGTACCGAGGGCACAGTGGAGCCCTACCCCTGCCCACCAGGGACCTTTGGCGCCACCGAGGGACTACGGAATGAGTCTAGCTGCACGCCCTGCCTGGCTGGCTTCTTCTGCGAGAGCGAGGGACTGCTGGATGTGGAAGGTAGGACTTTAGTTGGTTGGCTTGTTTGTTTGTCTGTGATTATTAATTGTACGCTTCATTTAGTTACCGTAGATATTCGGTTGGTCGACCTGTCTGTCTGGGAATTGATCTTGTACCTAAGAAATCGTAATGCGGTCGACTCATTTCTTGGTGTGTCTGTATTTAAAGTTGATCCTAAATGACACCTGCTGTAGCCGATGTTTTGAACTTTATGGCAGTAATTTGTATGCGTATTGAATCTGTGTCACTTCTGACTTTAAAGCGTCCCCCTGCCGTGTTGCTCGGTCCATTTTCAGGCTCATGCCAAGAGGGCTACTACTGTCCACTCGGCTCCAGCTCTCGCACCCAGCTCATCTGCACCGTAGGTCACTACTGCCCGACTGGATCGGACATACCCACTGACTGCCCCGAGGGGACCTTCAACCCCTACCAGGGCCTGATGAACGAGAGCCAGTGCACCCCTTGCACGGAGGGCAGCTACTGCCAGGAGAGAGGTGAGTTGCGTCTTGCATCTGTATCTTTAACCTTTGTCCAAGTTGTGTATACATTTTGACACAGAAGATAGCCGTGTCAGAAACTTACAGTTGTAGCCGGAAACGCACGGCCACTTTCTATGCATTACGGCTAGCTATTCAGGGAGAGGCCAAAACTGCAGTGGTACCGCACTCACACGCACATTCCTCAGCTTTACGCGCGCGTGCATTTGGCAAATCAAGACACCCTATTGGTCGAAGAGGCATGTAACGCGCGGGTACCACCTGTCCTTGAGTGTTGTGCAACCAAAGTTACGGCTTCTAGTTCTAGTTGTCGAATCACACTATAGCCAAATAAGGAGCACACTGCAGTCGTGACTGCTCTGTTCTTTTGATCAGATATGGAACAAATGGTGACAGCTTTTACCCACGATGCAGTGCTGAAAGTAACAGCAGAATATTTTAATTTGGCTCACCGAATATCATCTGTACTCCATAGTGTAGACATGTGGGGCATGTGGCCTAGTGGTTGAAGGGTTGGTAGTTTCCAGCTGGTGGCAGCATGTTGCGGCCTTGGGCAATTCGCTTTACCCTTATGTGCCTCTCCCCAGCCAGGAGTAAATGGGTACCTGTGAGGGCAGATTTGGTTATGTTAGCCGTGTGCACCTGATAGGGCAACATCAGCTAACTACTCCCTAGGGAGCTGAGATGGTTTTAGGAACATTCAGTTGTTGTGAGCCCAATATGCAGGGATAATGATAATATAGCGCCTTGAGCATCAGTTCTGATGGATATGTGTGCGCTATAAATATCCACAATTATTATTATCTGCCTTTACATTGCCAACCTTTTTTTCTCAGGTATAGAGAGCCCAACTGGCCCCTGTGAGCCCGGCTATTACTGCCCGCCTGGCCAGAGCTCACCCAGGCCCTATGAGTACAATTGCACTGTCGGTCACTACTGTCCGCTCAACTCGTCTGAGCCCCTGCCCTGTGCCAACGGCACCTACATGAACCAGACCCATGCGGAGGAGTGCTTCATCTGCCCAGAGGGATGGTAGGATTCCAAGTCACTATCCAGCATCTCACTAGCAACAACTTTGGAATTATGACGCAAATATGTACACTTTGTCATAGAAGACATCATGGATTGAGCTAAACCATTTTAGCAGTTAAATACTTTTCATATGAGTTTTAAGAACTTTTGAAAATGCACATAAAGCAAGAACTGGTCAGCTGTACTTTTTAATGTTTAGTTAAGATTTCTGTCAAAGACTGAATGTGGCAATATCCTTTTCCAGGTACTGCGTCTTGGGCAACCTCGTTGACAGTTGCCCCATGGGATACTGGTGCCCTGAGGGCACCGGCTTTGACTGGCAACCCTGCCCGCATGGAACCTTTGGCAACGAGACAGGCCTGTCGACCGTGGATCAGTGCGAGCAGTGCCTGGGTGGTTTCTACTGCAACCAGCTAGGGGCCACCACCGTCACGGACACCTGCGATCCAGGTAGGGGGATTAAGGCGTTGTGGCTTTGTTGTCTTTAACTAAGAATACGGAGGGAATTAAGAAAGCAGAACTCTTCCATTTTTTATTTTATGTTGAATGCTTGTGTGAGGTTATGTGAGGTTTGATGAAAAAATTCTGGAGTTTAATCCAGTTGGACCCAAACCCACGACATCTCTCTTACTATTGCAGACATTCTTAACCCTGTCTGGGGTCAATAGACTGGTTTGAGTCAGGTGAACAATAGTCCACAAGCCAAATCCAGTGGGTTTTTTTAATAGTGGGAACAACTGGAGATGAGGAACATCTACCTGACAACAGCCGGATTTATTGATTAAACATGTAGAAATGGGTGATTGGGCAGAGATTTCCCTGTTGTGTATTTGAAACAAAAATCCTGAACTCAGATGATAGGAGTTTGTTTGTTGGTGACCGGCAATTTGTGATTTTGCCTTGCCTCTGTGACACTTGTCCAACTGTTTCTGTGTCAACAGAAGAATTGTTCTAGTTTTTACACTTTTTAAAACGGTTCACAAGTGACTGTAAAATAGTGCAGCTCAGTTAAAATGCAGTAGTCCAAGCAAGTAGTCATTGATGGTGTGCAACCAACTTCTTGCAGTGACAATATAAACTTATAGCATCTTTGCCTTTGAGGAGTTCTTGTGAACATGGTTGCATAGCAATAATAATAATAATAATTTATTCATTTATAAAAATGCAAATTTCATATAGATATGTTCAAATGCACTGTACAATGAAGACATTAAGCATGGAACAATGAATACATTTAAACATGGTTGAGCCGATGGTATACAAGGGTGCCTCGGGCAGCCGCCAAACAACCCACATTCACCAACATCAGTAAAGAGGAAACAGTAAGAAGCAGTTACAGTTTTAGAGGTAGAAGGAAAACCCCAGAGGAATATTCTGGGTAAAACCCACGGAGTCAGGTAGGGACTGGAAACCCAATCCACATGTGGACCATGCCGGGAATCGAACTCGGGACCACAGAGATGGAAGGCGAGGAATGAACTACCTTGCCAACCTGACTCCCCTAACCTGACTCCCCTAGCAACAGGTCTGGAAAGTGTTTATCACTATGAGTGGCACCTTGCTGTTGTACCTTCATATATTTTCTGTACATCTTCATAACACTGTATGCTCATTGTTGTGAATATTAAAAATAAGCATCTCCCACAAAATTAGAATCTGCCTCTTTGGATCATAGATTGCCATTTCTGAGTGGCAAACATTGTCAGAAGCCTGTTATACATATCTTATGGAAGCCTTATTAAATATAGAGTAAGGATAAATAGAGCATTTATGAGGCGCACAGTACCTGGAAAGTACCGTTCAAAGGCGTAGGTCTGGGAAAGTTAAAGATGGAAAGCAAGATTGAAAAGGCGTGTTTTTAGATGGAGTTTGAAGCGTGACAGATGATTTTCCTCCCTCAATTCATCCGGCAAGGAATTCCGGAGACGCGGTGCAAAGTTGGAAAAAGCCCAGGCTCCGTAGGTTGCCAGATGAGTCTTGGGAACAGACAGATTGTGAAGAAGATGACAATGACTTCAGATCAGGTTGCTGTATTGCATTGTGTCCTGGATATAAGATGGGGCGAGATCATGGAGGGCTTTGAATGTCAGCTGCTCTGCTATGTTTACAGGTTACTACTGCACGTATGGTGTTGACCGCGCCCAGCCCGACGACCTGTCCCCAAGCCTGATCAACGGCACCTGTCAACTCCCCAGCGGGTACACTGGGGTGGGTGGGGTGTGTCCCGTCGGACACTACTGCCCTGAGGGATCGCCCATGCCCGTTGCCTGCGAGGCTGGCAGCTACGCCAACGTGACGGGCCTAGCAGCATGCTTGGCTTGCCCTGAGGGTTACTACTGCCCTGAAGGTAAGCACAATTTCAGAAGTAGTTGTGGAATTCAAACAGTGCATACTAACTGCACATTTAAGAATTGTCATGTGAATTTGATCTACATGTAAGTAATTGTCGAAAGTAGACAAACCAAAAGACAACAAGATAATTGTTTAACATGTCAACATCTGTGTAATGCATTATTGGTAGTGTATGCTCTTTAGTGACAATCAGTGATGGTCAAGATAGAGGATTCTTTCAAGTTAACATCACAATCGTTTTGAATAAAGTGGGGACCAATAAAACATCTTGCTGTATTCGGCTCAGACAAAGCCAAGATCGTAACGATAGTGAAACTTATGTTGCATCCACCTTGTTACATCCTGCTCTGTACAGAGTCGGTCTCCTACGATGACAAGCCCTGCCCGATGGGCCACTACTGCCCTCTTGGCACCGAGTCCATGTACCAGTTCCCCTGCCCAACGGGGACATTCCTGAACACCACCCTGGCCACAGCCCAGAGCGACTGCCTGGGCTGTCCCGGCGGGTGGTATTGCGAACTGGAAGGGCAGCCCAACCCCAAGGCCAGATGCAGTCCAGGTAAGGTTACTGCAAGTATCTCAAATAGAGGGTTTCTGCACGAAAAGTTCAAGGAATGCCCCAAAGATTTATAAAACTAAACACTCATTTTTGAAGCCCCCACTGTTTCTACGCAGTGCTATAAACTTTGGTCTGATCAGTTGTTCGGGATTGCAGTCAGAGTTGGTTTCCTATTTGGCAAAGCGATCATTAAAATTTCTGATGGGTTTTATCACAGGCGTTTTTCGAGTAGTTCTTATTAGGTATCAAGGGAAATATCTTTGAATTTTTGTCCTTACGTTTCTTTTGTATAGACATGTTCCTTTTTGACACTTTTCTGTAATTGTCAAGGTTTTGCGCATCGTTTTCCTGAGAATGCTAAAAAAAATCAAGCACACCTGCGCTTTAAAGCACATCTGTACTTTTATAAAGGTGTGTCACTTCAAATCGGTTTCCTCCCCCATCAGTGTGCATTTATTAATGCTGCGTAATGTGGTTCCTTCCCGCATCACAGGTTGGTACTGCGCTGCCAATGCCACCATTGCCATGGACGGGACCCACGGCGGCATGTGTCAGCCAGGATTCTACTGTCCAGAGGGATCCTACCGCATGCTGGAGTGCGATCCAGGGATGTACTGCCAGACGCCCGGGTTGGACACCCCCACTGGCAATTGCACAGCTGGTGAGTATTAATGGGCTGCGTGGATGGAGGGCTGCAGTTGTGATTCCAATGGGGTAAGGCAAATACACATGTATTTCGTAGAACCATGGAAATGTTCATTTGAGAAAAGTACGTATAGTTACTTCACTGGCCAATGTAAAAACGTGGTATTTTCCTTGCCTTAACTCCTTGACGACTGGAATTTCTTCCCGAAAGCCGACTCCAAGAATTCCAGCCTCACTTGGCCACGAAGGCCACCACACAAACTGCAAATTCTCGGTTTGTGGCCCTGCGTGCTCTGAACGCTTTGAATTACACGGTGAAAAGGCTCATTGTTCGGTGGCATGTGGCTTTACTCACGCTTCCATGTCCCCGTTGCCTCTTTTCAAAGTGGGGACTATTGTGAAGCTGGTGATTATGATGCAAATTCGGTCTTTTCATTTCGGGGCTACACACAAAGACCAATTACCATACAAGAGCAAGGGTCTGCCTTTTTTCCCCGTGTTCGCTCGAGTGTGGGCCGTGAATAATAGCTGTAAAGCGGGCTGAGGATCTCAATTTTTACGGCGTGTCTAGCCGCCTCCCGGCTCGAAGGGGTTAAAGAATGGGATATACTGTACATATTTACAGGACTTCTGTTCCACATCATTGAATATCTGAATATAAAGGAGGGACAAGTGTTGGATTTGGGGCAGGGTTCCGTATTCTCGCTGGGAATAGCTTTGAATGGCTTTTGATTCTGAGTGGAAAAAATGCAAGTCATTAAGAATTAGGCAGTCTGGAACTCCGTGGAACTTAATTGTTTTCACCATAAGAAAAAAAACAACTGTGTGAATGCAGTGTTATTAATTTGGCAATAAAATACAGTAGATTCCCGTTATGGCGCTCCCTGATATAACGAACTTACCAATATAATGCTCTGTTTTCATTTCCCCAACTGCAGACCCATTCACTGTGTACATTTTTATGCGGTTATAGCGCTCCCGATATAACGCGGGATGTAACGCTCATGATTTTTTGCCCCGAGAATCATATAAAGCGTGTGAAATGATTCCTGTTACACAGAGCTCTTTACCTTGGAAAGTCAGATTCTTTGAAAATCACATTGCAAGGCTGCTGCAATTGGCCGGCCATCCTGGACACCTTAGTTTAGCGATCACACAGAGTGCAGACACGCACTGGGCTGTCCATGCAACGTGATCGCGAGCACGTGCTCACCACGGTGAGCCGCGCCTGGGTGGCTTTACTGTGGTGACATTTATTCTCATGGTGTAGGTTTGGACACAAATAATCAACATTGAGATACTACATGTAGTATTTTTGTTACCTAAAGGTTTCTTTATACCGATAAATAAAATCTGTCTCCGGATAGGAAATCTTGTCTTTTCGTCGATTGTGTTCTGCATGACATGTTTGATCTGTTTTCACTTGGGTTTTCTGATGACATATCACTTTCTGTGGTCACGTGGTTATTGGGAGAAGTCAGCGATTGGACTGTCCATGAATGGGCATGCAGTAGCAGTCAGGATGTCGCGATGGGTGTAGATGCAGTGCGTGTACCGCAATGCAGCATGCACGAGGTCCCGTGGTGATTTTTGAAGAGATTTACGCACACAAGGCATATACTCAGAAAAATACGGTGCATACATCTGCCAATACATGTAAACAAAATTCACATACATGTACATGTAGAGACATGTATCTATACATGTGCATAGAAGTACATGTGCACATGTTGCACGTGTTGCCTTTCCATACAGTCGGTTAAAGTGCTAGCGGTTATAATGCTCAATTCTGTGAGAACCCTTTGAGAGCACTATAACGGGAATCTACTGTAAATTAGGCCTGAGACTTAAGGCAGCATTCAAACTCTAATCCTCGACCTATCCTTAAAAAAGGATTCTACTGCACCCTGAATGCCAATGACTCCTCCCCGACGGACGGCGTGACGGGCGACATCTGCCCAAAGGGCTACTACTGCCCTCTGGGGTCGATCCAGCCCCAGCCGTGCCCAACAGGTACCTTCCTGAACAGCACCCAGAACGACGCGATGGAGGACTGTCGGCCCTGCACAGAGGGCATGTTCTGCCCCGGGGATGGGTTAGACCTTCCTGAGGGACCCTGCGATGTCGGTTACTACTGCCCCAGCGGGCAAAATGTCTCAGCCCCACCAGAGTACAGGTGAGCTCCTGGGCAGATGAACATACAGATCAAAATCAAGAAGTGACTTTATTCACCTTTTTCTTGAGCCCAGTTTGTTCCAACTTGAAAAGGCTGCTCTTTCAAAACCCGTACTTTGTAATCATCTCTATCCTTCCTTATAGTTTGATTGAAAAAATAAAGTCATTTGATGAGCCATAACATCTGAAAATCAAAACAGGATCGTTAACCATGCAAGGCCTAGTACAGACTCTTGAACTCTTACCGCCTCCACTCTAGCTGGAAAATTGGACCAGGCTGTTCCTCTGGTCAAAATAGAAGCTGCAGTTTTCAATGGAATGCGGGTAAATGCAGAAATTAGGGGTCCATTCGTTGGAGGTCTCCCTGATACATTCGACATGTGATTTTGTAAGTTCAGAACACATTTTCTAATTTCCAAGGGTGATGAATTAATGCAAATTACTCTTTGCAAACAAATAGTAATGGTTTGAAATCAATTCTGGTGATACTCTCATGTCAAATAACAAATATAAGATGTAACAGGGACACAAAAGTGTCACACTTTTGGACCCCGAATTTCTGGAACTACACTTTACCCATTGTCAGTTTCTCCAAAAGCTGTTGTTAAGGTCACTTTGTGTACACAATCATTGTGAAAAACATGCACTGCTCCCAGCGTGCACTGCACCTGTGGTGTTAACTCCCATTGACTAGCCCAGGAAGTGGATCAGAGGAAGCAAAGCTCACTGTTCAAACTGTCGAAAGGTTTAAGCCAGGGGTTGAAATTTTTCAGGATTTTTTCATCAGAATTTTGCCTGATTTAAGAATTTTCTGTCAGGAATTTCAAAATCTGGAAAAATCCTGAGATAACCATCGAGCTGTTTCTCTCTGCAAAGTTGGTACAGTGAACAAGAAATGGACCAGATAAACTACCATGGACCCTACACTGCTGTAGCGCCCTCATAACCTTGGCTGATTATTCTGTGGATTTTCCTGCAATCTCATTCCTGTTAAGCTGGAGGGGAAAAAACAGATAGAGGTTACGAATTTACTTCTGGATTTGAATTGCAGATGCCCCGTCGGTTACTATTGCGAGCTGGGCTCCGCTGAACCGACCCGCTGCCGCAACGGCACCTACAACAACGAGACGGGCCAGGGGTCATGCCTGCAGTGCCCGGCGGGATACTTCTGCGACAGCACGGAGGAGCCCGTGGTGCAGTACAATGAGACCAACGTGTGCCCCCCTGGGTACTACTGCCCAGCCGGCACGCGCTACGCCACCGAGTACCCTTGCCCGATCGGTACCTTCAACAACTTCACAGGTACATTTCAGCATCAGTTTCAGGACAGCGTTGTAGTGGAGTACCTCAAATGAATTGCATCATGACAATACGGTCAATTCACAGTGGTGCACCTCCAAGAGTTTGCAACGCATTAACCAATCACAGTGCACATCTGTCGACCCTTTTAAACGCACATTGGGTCGACAGATTTTGCGCTCTGTGATTGGTCAACGCGTTGCAAACTCTTGGAGGTGCACTATTATGAAATGCCCGTATTCCACGTAAAAGTGGAAAGTTGGTTATGCTGTTAACAAAAAGAGGTCTTTGAAAAAAAAAAAGTAGGGGTCCAACTTTTTTTTGTGTCCCGTTACATCTGACATATGATTTTGTAAGTTCAGAACAAATTGTCTATTTCCAAGAGTGATTAATTATTGCAAATTCCCCGCCAAACAAGTAGAAAGTTTGAAATCAATTTCAGTGATATGTCCATGTCAAATTACACAGTTCAGGTGTAAGAGGGACCCTTTAGGACCCTGAATTTTTAAAATAACCCATATCCTTTAACTTTCCATTGCCACCAGTCATTTGAAGATCTTGTGTTGTGCAAGTTGCACCTTGGTACGTGTCTACTTTAAAGACATTTTGTACTTTGCTACTTTTGTCACAGGGCGGCAGACGGAGATGCAGTGCATTGGATGCCTAGGTGGGTTCTACTGCCCTCTGACGGGCATGCCATACCCCGTTGATCTGTGTGCAACCGGCTACTACTGCAGGGAATATGCGGAGACATCAACCCCCAAACAAGGTGAGTGTCAAATTCACAAATTCTACAAAAGCTACTTCTATTTTTACAAACTGGGCAAGGTCATTCAGGGCCACAGCACCGAACTTCACACCAGGTTGGAGATGTACAGTGCGAGTGCATTGGCGCACGGCCAACTCGATTGGGCTTACCTCACATGTGTGCGCTGATGTTCTTGAAGGAAACCATGCTGTTCATTCTGAGCAGGTGCTGCTGAAATAACAAACTGATTCAATGTAGGGCCTGTTTGTTTCACACGGATCCGGATCGCAATCGGTGATCTGAGGTTCATTCACTGACTCCAGAGTCGATCTAACGGAAAGTGCAAACCAGCTTTGGGATTGCTGATCGCGATCCAGATCCGTGTGAAACAAACAGACGCATAGTCGTAGGCCTGTGTACTGATGACGTCACACTTTGTTTACATGTGCACTTTCCTATGGAGCCTGTGGGGGTTCATGTTCCACTGAGCAGCATAGGAAAGCGTACTTGTAAACAAAGCAAAGCGTCGTCTGTACAGAAGTCTATTGAAGGTATCAATAGCGATATTGAACTTTTATGTACAGTCGGAAACTGTACAGATTTGTATCAATGATGCAGAAAATTGTAACAGTGTAAATGAATCAAGTTGTTCACCAGTATGATTGAGATGGTCCCACTGATTTTTGTGTCCGACTAGGTGAGCAAGCCAACGTGTGTCCCCAGGGCCACTACTGCGAGGTGGGCACTGCCAACCCCACTCCCTGCCCCAAGGGAACCTTCAGCGATGAGCTGATGCTGGAGAAGGAGGCGGACTGCCAGCTCTGCCGGGCCGGGGAGTACTGCGCCGAGGTCGGCAAGAACGTGACCAGCGGTCCCTGCGAACAGGGGTAGGAGCCTGTGCTTTCTGATGAACCGAGCAGACACTGTGCCAAAACTTGGCTCAAACATAGTTGTGCTTCCTTGATGTACAATGTACTAATAGACCAATGTGTTGTTATATACATGTAGATAATTGGTGTCTATGAGTAGAGTGGTAAGGAATCATTTCATGGGGTGGCATATTGAATGTTCTATTTCATGAGGTGGCATATTGAATGTTCTATTTCATGAGGTGGCATATTGAATGTTCTATTTCATGAGGTGGCAAATTGAATGTTCTTCTTCATGAGGTGGCATATTGAATGTTCTATTTCATGAGGTGGCATATTGAATGTTCTATTTCATGAGGTGGCATATTGAATGTTCTATTTCATGAGGTGGCATATTGAATGTTCTATTTCATGAGGTGGCATATTGAATGTTCTGTTTCATGAAGTGAAGCCAAATGGAATGGTACATTCAATCTGTCACTGTATGAAACTATTAAATCTCTCCATTGCACGATTGTGAACATTCATCATTTGAATGTTTTCAAATGATGAATATTCACAATCGTGCAGTGGAGAGATGTCTGAATAGATCCTCTTGTGTCAAAGATGCCGCTTTCCTTTCTCCGTCTGGCATGAACTTGGGACAAGTACGGTAGCTTTGTCATCTGGAATCAGTTCTCGCTTCATCAGATGGTCCAGATTGTTGGTCAACTTGCTCCATATCATTTGATTACACTTTTAATTTGTCTCTCTATATTAGATGCCTCAGCATCGCTTACCGGTTATTAAATTCTTTCATAAGTTGAAAAGACCGATGTTTTTTTTATTGTCAGCCACCTGCTCTTTTGTACGAAGAGCTTAATTGACAGCATCGTCTATTAGGACAGCTGTAAATGGAAGAACTACTATTGCATGCCTCTAATGCACTGTTTTTTACTGGGCTTGCACGTACCATGCATTGAGACTAATACTTGATGCATGTGGTCGACAATTCACCAATCGGATTTATTCAGGTTTTGTTTAACATGATAATGCTTGGGAGTTCACTTGGAAGACAGATGTTAAGGGCCTGTGGTGATAATTTCTGCTGAGAGGCTTACTCAGTTTCCTCCTCTTCGCACACCCCCCCTTCTCCACAGCTACTACTGCCTCCTAGGCTCCTCCGATCCCCGCAACACCTCCTGCCCGGCTGGCAGTTACTGCGAAACGGGCTCTGGCTTCCCCGAACCCTGCCCGCTGGGCACCTACAGCGACACCGAGAACCGCTGGAACGTGTCACAGTGTGAACCGTGCGACGAGGGCTGGTTCTGCAACCAGACAGGTACTTTCGGGGTTTGTGCACTCTTGAGGAGATCCAAAATCCAATTGCATAGGTCTGAGGTCTGGCTCTCTGTTAGTTAAAAACTCGCTCCAAAGTCAGGATTTTACACCTTAAAGTTCTCACAGTACCAAAAGACCGTATATGCGGGGTACCCAGTGTCAGTCGTATTCCTGAGCGTATTGTATACATTTAAAACCCTTAATGGGATGGTACATATACATGTACCAGGTGATTATGGGGGGGGGGTTGGAAAGAAATTGTAGAAAAGAGTTTGGTTCTTTAGATTTAACGTTTTCAAATGAATTCACTACATAGGGGAATCTGACGTGGGTCCCCCGCGAATATGGTCTATTGCATTGTGTGACCTCATAAACAAAAGTGCAGTTGTGTTCATGTTTTTAAATCATCAATTAATTAAAGCAAACTCTTTTGATTACGTTTAAATAAAAGAAATGTAATGAAAACATGCTGGGGACACACCTTCTAGAATTAGTTATAGCCCCAAACTATCCCACCATACCCTGGTTAAAAATGCAAGGTCTAAATATCGACAGTGGAGGATGCCTGTTAAGCCCTCCATACAGAGGACTGCTACTACAGCACCGTTGTGTGAGGATTAGTGCATACCACACATACAGTCTATTCACCATGCAGCTGCTGGTTCAATGGGGCCTGCTGCTGGACAAAGCCCTCCATTCAGGGCATGCCACAGACCAGCAGTCACAGTTAATATAATCCCACCGTGTAGGTTTAAGCAAGGGAAACCCTAGGTTGTTTTATACCTGGCACAAAAGTGAACATGACAACCACTTTGGTATGTCAGACCAAATTTTTTTGCCCTGCAAACTTCGCAATAGTTGAACGCTTTTCAACTCAAGGGAACTTTGCTGCAAGTGTGTGTTCAGGATGTCATATTTGCTTCTTTTCAAATTTGCCTGAAGTACGAAGTGGCCTTAAATAGGTGGACTAGATTTCATTTTGTTAAATTGCTGGTTATAGCTAGGCACACAACTTTCGATAATCTCAAAAGTTTCATTCTTGCAAACGATTCCTGCAGAAAAAGTCATCATCCTATCACATTCCTCTGTCCTGCTGAAAAATACAATATTCAAACAAATGCCGAGCCTTTAACATTGAGGGATGCCTAAAAATGTGCAGAAAGACAAATTTACAGTCACTTTGCTTTACATTACAGGTCTGACAGCCCCCGTTGGCGAATGCGATCCCGGGTTCTTCTGCCCTGAAGGCCAGAGCGTGCCTAACCCCACCGATTACCCCTGCCCCATCGGGCTACACTGCCCTCAGGGCAGCCCCCTGCCGGTTCCTTGCCAGCCGGGCACCTTCACCAACCTCACCCAGCAGGCCGAGTGCCTGGTGTGCCCCGAGGGATACTACTGCGTGCCCGAGGAAGTCATTGAAGGTGAGTAGGGGGATGGAAGGAAGGCCCCTTGCACGAATGTTGGTGGGTTGAATACATACATGTGCCTGTAACCAGACACAGCAGTGGATCCAAGAAAGCCAGTTTTGATAATGTTTTTTTTCTCAATTTTCTTCACTGTAATCTGTCATTAGACGGTGCCAGACTATTTGGGGTTCCATGCCTCACTTTCCTTTTTTCTATATCAAGGTGTTGCTTATTGCAGTAAATCACAAATTCTAAATTACTGTGAATAAAATTAGTCTGCAGTGAACTTTAATATTGCTTTCATTTATTCTGAGTTGCCCAAAATAAAGGTAACCTCACTTTCAATTCAATATGGCTGCCATGTGAATAAGGTCAGTCATTGGGGGGGGGGCTTAAAATGGAGATGGGTGTAAATTTGAGTTGATACCCAAACAAATAAATGGGGCTTACGTTTGCTTATTTGGATGAAAATTGTAGTCTCTAAAGTAATGAAATAACTTGTTGACAGCAGAATTATAGGGTGGGGGAGGGGCACTTGTTTTAACTCCTCATCTCTGGATCTGCTGGTGGGAAATAGCCTGCTGCTTGTACCTATGAAAGCCACTGTCTTACGGCTGCAGCAAATTGCCATAGACACGTGTAGAACTCAGTCTCAGCCAGTTCATTATGGACACAGCCACACCTGGAGGATGTTTGCATTAACCTTTCTACTACGAAGGATGCACAACTTGAAATGGTCCAGCCAACACCAAACTATAATGTGGTGTAGTACAGAGATTCTGTGTACTAAAGTTAAATTGAGCCGTGGGCCATGATGAAGAAGTGAAAATAACGTTCAGATTTTCCAAGCAATGAAAAGTTAAGGACAACGAAAGGCATACAAGTTCACTGCTCTGTTTTTGTTAATTTTCTGGCAGGGAATTCCTCCTCAGGTTTCAACCTGTGCACCCAGGGATACTTCTGCCCTGCTGGGACCGGCATGAACTGGACGGCCTGCCCGCCAGGGACCTACGGTGGACGACTCGGCCTGAAGGACGAGACGGAATGCACCAGCTGCCCAGGTAAAAAGGCCTGATGCCTTAATTCATATCGTTGAGCGACCACTGAATGAGACGGCCACCTAAATCACTAAAGGATTGCCATGAAGAGGAGGAATTGGAATGTTTTGAAATAGCCTTCTCGGCAAAATTGACTGAGCGTTCATGAAAGAGGCTGTCAAGAATGATATCTCCGCCTATCTGGTTATAATAATTTTAAGATTTTTCCTCAGCAGTGCAGATTTGAACACTGTTTGAGCACTGCTATATTTTGTATGAACGTGTGAAGATAATTTAGAATTGCATATAACAAGTTTGGCTGTGAACTTGCATGATTTTTTGAGGGGCATGTTTTTAATCAAACTGGTTATTCATTTGGAATAGGTGGGATGTACTGCGATGGAATCACGCTGGTTGCTCCAACCACTTCCTGCAGCGCCGGGTACTTCTGCACCTCCAGGGTTGACAGGCCAAACCCGACAGCATTCGTCAATGATTCCTGCACGTATGAAGGTACATGTATGTTGCTGTGTTATAAATCTACTTGAAACCCTGTTGTCGCTCTGCCAAAATTTGACAGTTACCACCGTTTCCTTGTGTTGTAATCATTCTCCAAATCCACACTCCCGTTGCGAAAGTTGGAATCCCACCCACAAATTTCACAGATGTGGGTTTTCTATCGAACCCCAGCAATGTCCACGGCTTTGCCTTAATAGAGCACAAACTCCATTGGGGTCAAATAGTCAGGCTCGTTACGGGTCTGTATTCTGCCACTGTATTTAATTGAATCCATCAAGTTGATGCCAATGTTTGGAGCGTTATTCTCCGTCTGGATTTTGGCACTCACTGTCGCATGATGCTTGAGCAGGAGTCGATCAGAGCTGCATATCAGGGTACCACTCATAAAGAGTTTCAAACAGCAGTGTTATAATGCAGTCCAAAATTTTTGTTCGACGTCTCGGGTGTGCATAGGGATCGGACTGTAGGGGGGGTACGCCTCTGTCTCATTTCTTGCTGGGTATACAGTCCGTCGCAAGTCCCACCACTACTCCAGTCACAAGTCCTTTCACAAGACCAGCTATGACAAAGAAGGTGATCAGCGGCCGGGGATTACTTTTGTCATAGTTCATTTGAATGACTTGGTTTAAGACTTGATGACTTGGGAGGTTTTGCAGGGACTTGTGATGGACACGACTTCAAAGCTGTCATGGCTGTTGTAGAGGTTCCGTTCATTTTTCAATTTATATAGCAGCGCTGTATTTTATTCAAAACAGGGGAGCACACGGGTTACGGTGACATCTGCCCCCTGGGTCATTTCTGCGTGGAAGGGTCCACTTACCCGGAAGGGTGCAGTGCAGGGACATACCAGAATGAAGAGGGGCAGGACTCGTGTAAAACCTGCCCCGCTGGCTACTACTGCCCGATAAACGCGACCACGTTTGTGTAAGTGGCCTGTGATGACAATTTAAGTATTGATGTGCTGCCAAGGGTCAACTGTCATTGCAAAATCTTTTCTGTAATGCAGTTGGGTCTGGAATTCCTACCTGCAGCCAGAAACAGTGCACAAAGTTGTTGAAGGTGGAAGAAGCTTGTTAAAGGATTGAGGAATATTCAGAGTATCTTTCGATTGAATGTGTGAAACACAGAACTGTGCTCCATCAGTTGTAGATTTGGAATCGCTGTAATTTGTCCTGCTTGAGAACATATTTGACCGTCTTTGCAAAAGGTGTATTATGTCACATTTTTCTGAAGTTGAGTTATATGTATAATCAAATTGCTCACATCCTAAGTTTTCATTTGATATGTAATTCATCCCAGTGGCATTTTGCATTTTGGAGTTATTTGCCATTTGCATATTCATATAATTTCATTTGATCACATGTGCTTTTTGAGATAATGTACAACAAACAGAAACATCAAACTTAAATTAGACACTCGCTTGGTTTTCCTTTCTGGTCAAGCAATTGGCCTCAAAATATTTCCAGATATTTTCCCCCTTGGCACATGGAAAAGGCCATTACAAGTTTTTTTATTGCGCAACTTAATACACCTTTTGGCAGAGAGGGTCACCAGGAAAAGTAAAGCAAAGCACACTGCGTCCCTCTTCAGTGGTGTTAAATTGTGTTTATAATAGGGCTGAGTCAATTCAAATAATTCACTATTCAAATATTCGACCTTCAATTTGATCGAATATCCAAATATTCGATCGTACCGACCAGCAGATTGTTGATGAACGAACCATATACAATTATACGTGATGATTAATATCATAGCTTCTCTCATCTAGGAGTATCTCCCACCACGACTTAGCAAAATTTAAGAGATGAACAAGACTTATAGCCCTGTCTAAAATTTCTATTCCTTTTAAATTGTTTAATGAATAATTGACGATTTAAATCATTGTAAGATTTCTGAAGCTTTTCATTTGAATCTGCTTGAAACAAGCCTCTATAGTGTAATGTTTCTCATTTAAAACAAAAACAAATTGCCTTACTTTTCATGAATTTTGCATTTGAATATTCAAATTCAAAAAATAATATTCAGGTATTCGACAAATCGATCGAATATTTGGTTATTCGGATATTTGGTACAGCCCTAGTTTATAGTAGTTTGTCTTATTCATTGAACCAGTTTCAGTGCTTAAATTGTTACTGATTTATTTTGTTGGTTGCGTTTTGTTGACAGAGATACCCTGTGTCCTGAGGGTCACTACTGTCCAGACGGCACCACCTATGACATTGAGTTCCCTTGCCCACAGGGCACATTTAACAATTTGACAGGTATTAAAGCAAATTTGAGCAAAACCACCACCGAGTTTGAGTCAAGTTTTCAGAGATGTTGATACACCCTCCCAGTATTTTGATGGCTGTTCATCAGAGATTTGAGAAGACCTAAAGGAAAATAGTGTGGATAAAGGGATAAGTGTTCAGTGCCTGGGCACAGTTGGCTGGTCTGGTTGTGAAGTGTATGGTTTTTGGAAGGCAGCGCAGCAAAGTAAGGGGCGTCAATGGCACTGACCACTGTGGTAGCCGTTGAGGCCTACCAATAGACTAGTCAGTCCAGCTACTACCCAGTATTGATGTCCAAATATTGTACAAAACAATGCACAGAATTGCCCAGTAAATAACCAAATCTTGAAAGTTCCAGAACCTCAACCAGCAACAGATAACGTGAGGGATAGGGCTGACCCACAACGTGACTTTTCTTCATCCATCTGCAGGAGGCCAGAACGAATCGGCCTGCGTGCCCTGCACGGCCGGCTACTATTGCGCTGGGGAAGGCAACAGCCAGCCCACGGCGCTATGCGACCTGGGCTGGTACTGCATCAGTGGCTCCTACGAAGCTCAGCCGTCCGATCCCAGCCTCGGCGGTGAATGCCAAGCAGGTAGGTGTAAGGCGACCAGACAAAGGCAGGTTTATATGCTTGCCTTGCTTGGCTCTGTCGATAAGTCTGTTTTATAGAACTTGCCAACTTGCATGCAAGCTTGAGTTTCAATGTGCATCCATGGGCTCGTATAATGCCATCGTTGTATTGGCACGTGGGTGTCACAGGGAGAGGGGCAAGCACTTTAATCCACTGGGGGGAAATTCATGGGGGGCGTGGTACTCATCAACTATAAACAGTGAAATGGGGTCATTTTGACCACTTGTGACTACCTTTGAGGTCATTCTTATTTTTTTTTTAACAAAGTGGTGATTTTCATACCCTTTCATCTATGTTTCATTTCCTTTCTATAACTATTAGGTGATGACAGTTTTATTGTAAATGAATTGAAACTGATTGAATTTGAAGGCAGTTCCTCTGATAAGGATGTCATGTTGCTTGATCTAGTAGGCTTCAAAATGTTCATGTCTGCTGTGTCTTCCCAGGTAATTACTGCCCTCAAGGTTCCTCCTCGCAGACGACCTGTGACCTTGGCACCTTCTGTGACACAAGCGGCTTGGACGCCCCCAGGGGTGATTGTGCGGCTGGCTACTACTGCACTCATGGCTCGACCACCGACAAACCAACAGGAACAGGAGGTAGGCAGATGGAACGGTCACCAGTAGCATAACTAGGGTGGAATTTCGGAAGCGTCACCCAGAATGTGCAAATGTTTTCAAGAGGACAATGAAAACAAACTCTGACTCGAACGCAGAATCTGCATATTAAAAAAAATTCAAATGGGGGCTATTACAATCAGAAAGGGGTAGGGACTTTCTCTAGGGGGGCATGTGTCCCCCATGCCCTATGGCAACTCATCTTTCATAAACCATCTCTGTGCAGGCAACGAGTGCAGCGCCGGTCACTACTGCATCGCCGGAAGCAGCTCAGAGGAGGACTGTCCCCCAGGGACCTACTTGCCGTCCCGTAGGGCCAAGAACATCACCTACTGCTTGGACTGCATTGGGGGACAGTACTGTGGGGCCAGCGGATTGCCCTACCCGGAAGGGAACTGCTCGCAAGGTACCGTAGGTTGGAAAACGAGGGAGTTCTGTCAAGGAGTTGCCGGTCTAAAATCTAGAATGTAGAAAAGTTTGCATGGGTACACAAACTATGGCCATCTTAGAATCTTTCACTATGGCTCCCTGCTGTTCATTGAATACATGTGACCGCTGACAACTATTTTACATATCCCTTGGTTAAATCATCGCACATACGTGTCAGATCTGAACGTTGCAGTGAGGAATAGAATAATGGAAGCACCCTTCCAAAAAAACTTACCTTTCCACATTTCGGAAGTGTCCAAACTCTGCATCAGCCTGTAGTGTCCACTTCGCTTGCGTGGATTTTCTTCTTCAGTATCAACAATTTGCAGCAGTACAAATATTGAAAACTTTTCAGACGTTCTTTCAGATTTACCAAACAAGGATTCCCAAATTGCTTTAGACACAGTTCAATTTGGTTTATGAGAAATTTTAGTACAAGTCTTTCAGAAAAATACGCCTATGTTAAAAAGGAAAATGATATTAAATTACTCAAGACGAATATTTGCCAGAATTCAAGTAAAGAAGAACTTGTCGGTATAAGTGAAAAAGGGATACAAAAATGTCACAAAGCGACTGTTTGGCCCCAAAACATGATGTTTTTTCAAATTTCTGTTTTTTGGGCAAAATTGAATAGGCCATACAATGCCTACAACCTGGTGTAAATCATTTTTTTAACCAAATCTAATGAAATCAGCCAAATCAACTAAACTGCGTTTTGCATTATCACAAAGAGGTGAATTGTGTTCTATAGATACAGTGTTAGCAATAAAAGGCAAATTCATGGGCAAACTCGTTTTGCCGTTTTCACAAAGAGGCGAATTTGACGCTGGGAATGTATATACATATGTAACAATTTTGCACCTGGAACACGCTATAACAATTTTGTATGCATTTTCACGAGTAGACAAAAGTCGCATGGAATTTAACATTTTCACAAAGAGGCGAATTTGTTTGGTTACAAAATAAATAATTTTTTATTGACTTCTATGAATATTATTTGTCAGTTTTTTGTCATTTGAATCCCCCTCTTTCATGCAGTAGCATTGGTTAAAGGCATGCTGAATACTGGGAAAATAAGCATTTCAAAATCAGACTTCAAATGTGATTTTCTCGAAACCTAGGTTTAACTCTCCAGTGAAAAATTTGCCTCTTTGTGAAAACGGTGACGATTTGAGGAAATTTTAAAAGAGAGTTTTTCCATCTCCCCAGGTTTCTACTGCCCCGGTGGTCAGATTGTCCCTGAGCCGTTGGCTTACGGTTGCCCGCCCGGCTATTACTGCGAGGAAGGTGTAGACGACAAAGTCCCCTGCCCGGCTGGGACCTACCAGGACGAGCCAGAACAGTGGACCTGCAAGACATGCCCAGAGGGATTCTATTGCAATGACATCGATGGGCCCATAGTGAACTACACAGCGTACATATGCCCCGAAGGTATGTGGGAAAGGAAAGATTTAATTTCTAGAAGCTTAGAAGGTACAATTCAGTTTGTGAAAGTTAAAGTGGTGAGACCGTAACTGAAGAATAGAGCACGTCTGGCATTTTCCTGTCTGCTGGGAGAATTTTGTGATTCTCTCATCTCAAATTTCTCAAATTTTTCAGATCCAGCATTCATGAAATGGGGGAGGCGGGCACACCAAGTGAAGGTGACAGATACCAGCAGGGCGCGTCATTTTGTCTTGAGCTTGGAAGAGGGGCATTCAGGCAGTTTTCTTACACAACTCACTCTGTAACAGTTGGCCTTAAAACTTTTGCCCTACTGCCAGGCAGCAGAAATTATTATTTACATGGGGGGGATTTCTGTGGTATAGTTACTTAAATATTTCTTTGGAGATGAAAGACAAAAAAAGGTACCCCCTCCCCAAAAAAAGAAACTGAAAAGTTCAGGAGCGCTACCCTTACGCATCCCTCTCTAATCTGCTACTGATTTGTGTGACTTCACTAATTATTATTCACCAATCGTATCTCACATTTTCATCTAGGTCACTACTGCCCTAATGGCACCCTTGCAGCCACCGAGTACCCCTGCCCCATCGGCACCTTCAACAATGCCACGGGCCTGGCCAGCTCAGACCAGTGTGCCCCCTGCCTGGGTGGCTACTACTGTGGCCAGCCCGGCTTGACCTACCCTTACACCCCGTGCGCTGCCGGCTACTTCTGCCGCACGGGGGCGGAGAAGGCCGCCCCGGATCAAGGGTCGGACGCCGGGGTGTGCACAGAGGGCCACTACTGCATTGAGGGCACCACGGAACCTGTGGCCTGCCCAAGGGGGACCTACAGCAACGAGGAAGGGTTGATGAATGTGACAGAGTGTGAACCTTGCTTAGCAGGTAGGCGCACCAACTCCAGGCACTTTCAGTCCTCATTCAAATCCATCCGCCTGGTGTAACTCTATCTTGATGGACTCAGGACAAACTTGAAATGTACAATTCATTTTTCAGGGGCAAAATGTCAAGGACGTATAGTGCAGCATGAGTCCTGAACTGTCCAGTGTTGAAATACATTACATGGCGTTACTCATTTGAGGGTTTTAGGGCTTCACTCAGTGAATGAGAGTGTAATGATTCATGAGAAGGTTTGCAACTCGTATTTTATCTGAACTCTTTCATGTAGAACACAGGTGTCTAATTTATGTTATGTTACTCCTTGTAGGTTGGTGCGTTCTCAACTGAAAAATTGAACATGTAAAAAGTGGAGTCAGAACAGATACACAAGTGTCAAATCGGTTGAAGTTAAACTGAGCACTTTTTTTTTTTTTTTTATTTTACCATGACTGGTTCTTTGACATCAGATGTATGTTCACGTTCCTCCCTAAGTTTAAACCTGGGCGACTTAAAACTATTGTGGAGTCCAACAGGTGCCACTGATGAATATGGTCACCATTACCCATGATGCTTCTTGATTTCTTGCCACTAGGCCACCACCCAGTGGTGTTCCTGAATGTTGTCTCCCCACTTCTGTCTGTTGTCTATGCCTCTCTTTCTACATCACAGGATGGTCTTCGATGAGCATTGAACAAAGACTTCTTACTATCTCTCATCTTGGTTAAATACAGGTCAGTACTGCGACGAGGATGCCCTCCTGGCCCCAGCAGGTTACTGCCTGCCCGGCTTCTACTGTGAGCGCGGCTCAGACGACCGGCGACAGTACATCTGCCCTGCTGGCAAGTACTGTGGCAACGGCACGGCGGTGCCTGAGAGATGCCCCAGCGGAACCTACTCCAACGACACGGGGCTGACCGCCGTGTCAGAGTGCACCAACTGCACCGCCGGCTGGTACTGCCAGCGGCCCGGGTTGACAACGGAAGAAGGGCTGTGCATGGAAGGCTACTATTGCCCTGAAGGTAAGCAGGTTTCCATAAAGCACCTAAACACACCTCAAATCCGAAAAGTTTGAAGCAAGAAAAAATAAAACAAAACGCGGTCAGCCCGTAGTGACTCTGGATGGATTTTTTACGTTGCACATGTACATGGAAATGAGGACTTTACTTCTGATATTGTATTATTTGGGGTGCACTGTGAAGACTCTGTTATTCCAGTGGGTCCATGTTTGACTTTTCGTGGTTCAGCACACCATCTGCAAGTACTTATTTCCATTTGCTTGATGCAGAGCAATAACAATTTGCAAATCTGTAGTGTATTTGCCATGGGTACCAGCTGCTGGGCACCAGTGGCCGTCAGTTATTGATCTAAAATTTCTGTTTGTTGCTGGCATTAGGTAATGTGGTGCACT